ACATTATAATTGTTTTGAGTCTTTATTTAGAAGTTTGGAGATGTTTTTGTGACCAGAAATATGTCAGAGGAACTTAACTCTAGTTTATATCAATTAGCCTATGGTATAATTGGCTTTATTATACAGTGCTTAGCTTAAAGTTAGTTTCTGAGAACTATGGATGATGTTAAGTGAGGACTTACTGTATAAACTTAAGATTCTGGATGACAGGTGCAGAGATCTACTCATCTTGTGGATGCCTAAGACAAGCCTCCGATTAAGTTCCCTTGCTTCTCAAACCTGCCACCTACCAGTCTGAACTGGTCTGCCTCTTTCCTGGATCTCTCCTTGCCCTCCATGTGTCGGGCCAGTTTCAGATTTTACCCAGGGAATTCCCAATGTTGAAAACCAACAAATAGACATTTTTATACAAAGCAATTTGTTATTGAAACATATTAACATCTCTGAATTTTCTAGAGAAAAATAAGATAGGTTCTTGTGATAGGCTCTTGTGATGGAGAAGAAAATATTTCCATGCATTTTAAAACTCTTAAAATTCTGTTCTAATATATATAACTTCACTAAATTGTACTTTTTAAAGAATTTAGTAATTGTGAACTTAGCCTTTTTTTTTTTCATCTTAAGAATGTATGACTTAATGACTCACCTCACACTTTTGGTATGCCCAACTATAATTAAGGAAATGCAGTGATGATATAAGAGTTCTATGCAACACTCAATCTCATGTAAGTAGCCGGACAGCTTTTTAACTAAGTCACATTTCCTTATATGGGAAACTTTCTATCTATAAAATAACAGAATGCCCCAAATGAAAACCCAGGGTTGTATAAACACTCATTCTTTACAGTTTAATGGAATTGTGAAATGATCCTCCTGAAACGTTCAGCAACATGAAACTTCAGCATCACAATTCTAAACATAATGTTGAGCCATGGAATTTAACTGCTTTTGAGAACTTGGAGACCTCCCAAAGGAGAGCAATAAAAATGAAACATGGGTTAGAAAACAGGCCCATAAGAGGGAAGGGATGAAGTTTAAGAATTAGCCTGTGTATGATGCTTAAGAAAGTTTAGCCTTTATGGGAGAAGGGGTGTGACTGAGTCCTGTAGCCCGAGCTTGAATGACAGGAGGCAATACATCTCAGTTTGTTCTTGAGTCAAGGCAAGAGCAAAGGTCAGCTTTTCCTTGCATTGTGTATCTCCAGCAGGGTCCAGAAAGGTGAGACTAGACCCACTTTCACCAATGTAATCCCAGAGCCCAGTAAAGTGCCCAGTCCATATTGATTTTCAATAAATGATTGTTGAATAAAAGGATGAGCTCTAGACTGGACTCCATTTCAGTGGCTTATTGATCGCTACTGCCTACCCTTCAGCAGAGGAGAAACATTCAGGAACCCTTAATATGTACATAGCAAGCTACAGATTTTACTTGTAACTGATATAAGTTTTAGCTTTAAAAAATTAATAAATGTCCAGTACTACTGAAGCTAATTTGCAGAATAGATGTGTAAAACAATGATGGAACATAATTAGAAGTATATGTCAATATCACTAAAAATGAAATAGGAATTCTACTCTGAAACATCAATCTTATGGAAATAATCCTAAACACAGAGAGAAACAACTTTCCTAGACGTTGAAGTGTTATTTATAATCATAAAAGCCTGGAGGTAGTGTCAAGGTCCATGTGGAAAAGACATGCCCAGGGGGTGAATCATTCAACCATAGCAAAGACAAGGCATAGATTACACTGCAACATACACAACAGTTTCCCCCATATTCAGGATTGTTTACAAGGGAATTGTTAAGGTCCAGAGAACTAAAATAACTCACAAAATCTTAGTAAAGTTCATCTGTGTAGATTATTTTTTTACACACAGCCTCATTTCCCCCCATTCTTAGGAACTGTTTCAGCTGCAAAAGCCACCTGCTCACAGGAATCATCTAAAATCAGAGAAGCTCCCTTCTCTCCTCTCCTTTTTTTTGCTAATGGGTCAGAGAACTCTCATCTGCTGAACCCCAAATGGGCTCAGAACCTTTCTCAGCACAGTATTCTAGATAGCCACTAGGTATCAATCACAGAACCTGAGAGAGAAGGCTCTTTACCATCCATGAATTCAATAACAAATCAGGACATTCGCTTCCCTGGTACAGGTACAGTTGATTGATTTCCCCCACTGGCTAGTCAAAATAAGGGTATGTATGCTGCCCCTTCAGAATCAGCAATGAAGAGAAATTCAACATTCATCAACTCTTCTAAAATAGTCAACTGCTAAGACATTTTTATTTAAAACATGTTTCTACAGAAGCAACTCACGAACTTTAAGGACAATATTATACAGAGAAAATAAGGTGCTTCACAGTATACACATGTTATGTATATATTTCCTCTCAAAACATCACCATTTTGTCCTGATAATTGCCAAAATACAATTTAAAGATAATCAGAATATGGTAATCTATGATATAGCTCTCTCTCAATATGTAGAGAAATAGTGAGTTACTTATTTCACATAACAAGGGGTACTTGCAGATACAAGAAGCTAAGGAACTGTTTTCTTATAAGGTAATTCTAGAAAACTAGCTGGCATCCCACCCAGAATCTTGAAGGCCCCCAAATACATACCACTTGCTATCCCAAAGAATACTGAAGAAATGGACATGAATTTAAAAGAAAACCAAGCCTATAAAGCCCCTCAGATATTCCCTGCGCCCGTGCCACCTTGAAGTGTACGGTAACGTTTATTTGGAGGGCCCCTGCAAGAGAGTCCTGTGGGATCCCCACATTAAGCCAGGCTTAAGGTACTAAGTGTGCCCAAGAGGTAGGTATCTCACCAACACACTCATTAGATCCCTCCCCTCATAAATCTCACCTGGAAGATGCCAGAACAATAAAAACAAGCTCAGGCACAGAAAGAATCCCCATTTTTCACATAAGATAGCATCTGCCTTTTCCCATGCTAATTCTGCAAGACAGCTTATTTACAAATATATAAATAGCTGCAACTTTACTCCAGTCTCATTGAAAAATCAAAATGGCATCATGCAAGACAAGCATCCTAGCATACTTGGCTCAGTGAGTGAAATTAAGTGGAGATGTGCCAAGCTACTTGACACTCGCTAGTCAGCTTAACCAGATACCCTCCAGTTTCCTGTGGTGGAGGTACCAGGGCTCTGCTGTCCAGTCAGAGAATCCACTTACGCTGATCGCCCAGGGGTCGCAGTGATTTAGAGCCAAAGGTTGAAAAATAAATTTCCCACTGTACCTCATATTTATTAGCACACCTGTTCGAAGGGGAATAGCATTGCCTAAAGGTGGCAGCAAATTTTCCAATATAACTACTTAAAATTAACTAAGTTTTCCTATGAATTTTAAAAGATTTTCACTCCAATCCTTTAGCCAGCTGGCCAGAATTGCAGGGGTTTAGATCATCAAGATGAGAGTGTGAAAGAAAATACATCTTAATTTTTGGAAGAGAATTAATTAAATTGATTCACTAGTAGTTAGGAAACATCTAAACCAATGTATATATGAACTATATATGAGATTCATACTGACTTTTCTTTACTGCATATGGCTGGCCAATCATGAAGCTGCCTTGCCCTGAGGGTTTCATGCCTACATGTGAAGCCACCTAAAAGCCACCTACAACAGTTACATCTGCCGAAGCGCCCCGCCTGGCAATCACTCATTATATCCCCCAATATCAAATAACTCTCTTCCTTTACACTCTTATTTTTTACCAATTAATAAGCAGTTTACTTCTGAGGAGCCACATCATTAAGCTAAAAGTATCTAAAGGGTTGCAAAATAGAAGGCCGTAAAGAAATTTTTCTCAAGAAAAAAACTGACTTAGAAACATGGTTTATACGGAGCATCTGAGGATAGGCAATGAGCTGATTAATGCTATTTTCTTTTGAGAATTCAAATGCTGTGATTCTCAACAACCCTGTCTGGTAACTTAAATATTAAGCTGCCCAAGGGGAAGTGAAAATGTTCATTTTTGCTTTCACGCACAAGCAGCTGTGTTGCATTTTAAACCAAACAGATCTCAATCCTGTTTTCATTGCAGTGTATTCACACACTAAAGTGTTTACCTGGGGCTCCAGGGCTGTACATATCACGACCGTCTATGCTCCATCGGCNCACAAGCAGCTGTGTTGCATTTTAAACCAAACAGATCTCAATCCTGTTTTCATTGCAGTGTATTCACACACTAAAGTGTTTACCTGGGGCTCCAGGGCTGTACATATCACGACCATCTATGCTCCATCGGCCCTCCTGGGGACTCAGGCTTTCTGAGTTACTATTTATCCCTCCTCTGGTTACATTCAGCCAACTATAGGAGGAATCATTATTACCCGGAATAGTAGCTGACCAATTGCCAGCGTTTAAATGGCAAGTGATTCTTTTTTCTAATCCCAGGTATACTGGCAGAGAAAGGATAGTAAAGATAACAAAGGAAACATTTGGTAAAACCATTTGGAAATGAAACGAGTATCAAGACCAAAAATAAAACTGAAAATCAGTTTTTCTTTACTGTTTGCACAACATATAAAACGGATATCCAAGGGCTGTGTTCTTTTATTCTGTCACGAAGCTTCTCTACATGCATAAAGCATGTAGAAATAAATATAACAAATGTAAGCTTTTTGTTTCCAAGTCTGCGTCGTGCCTTGTGTTTTAAAGTTTACATTTTAAAATCTAATTTTGGTCGTGTCTACTTTAAATAAAAATATTTCTTCAAAAAACAAATTTATTTTCTGTTCTCTAAAGATTATGCCTCTATCTGTACATGTAAGTGGCATTTACACTATAGAGCAAGATCGGATTGCAAAGATTATTAAAAACAACAAATTTATAAGCAGGGCATTTACCACAGCATTCAAGTGAGTATGATAGTAGTGAGATGTTTTATTTTTTAACAAGTTATTTGGAATCTCCTTAGAAAATAGTTTCTGTAGTATTATTACAGTATAAAGAAAAATCATTTTACTTACATGGTATCTCTAATAAGAAGTGCACTTCCCAATTTGAAACAGGTTTTATCACCTTCACAAAATGCACGTCGCAACGAAAAGCTCTCTCCTAGATCAAAACCTGCAAAATGTGACAAATGATTTCATCCAGCAGTTTGATTAAACTTAGTAAACTCACAAAGATATTGATTTTTTTTAAATAAGATTTTTTTTGGTCCTTATTTATGCACTGATTTATTTCAACTAAAGTCCTGCTGTTTGGGATCAGCAAAATTTCTTGATTTAATTTTTCTCCTTTTAGGATGTAGAAAGATAAAATATGTTTCAAAAGACTCAAATATTAATTTTCTTTGACCTAGGGAATTACCGTAAGTAAATAATCAGAGTAGTTCATTATAGCAGCTCCGATGGCTAAAGGCAGAAAATCTGTTAAATAAAAAATATTACTGCCATTTAGTTGAAACCTAAGCAGCCTTTTAAAAAATATCATGCTTTAGTAAAATATATGTTGATGTGGGGAAATGTAGTGAGATCTTCCTTCACATAAATTTTCTTTTTTCAAAAATTCTACAATGTGTATAACTTTTATAATTTTAAATAACCTTTTGTTCTCCAAGAGACTGAGTTATTGTTGGTCTTCAAACAATATAGAACTGTTTTCAGCATATTTTCTACACCATCCATCTTCTTAGCTTTTAATTTTTTATATTGATGTCATTATCTTAAATTACAATGTCAAGGAATCACCTACAATATATTACATGCTTGATGATATTTGGCACAACATGCTTCTTTGTAAAGGATTATAATGCTTACCTGAAACTTCAAGTTTATCTCTGTTGTCGTGGAAAAACTGATGTCCCTCTGTTCTCAGTATAGCACATTGTTTATCTATTTAAAAAAAAAAGTTTTGAGGATTTCACTACTTTTCTTATCAATTTTTTCAGATAAATTTGAGTCACAATATAATCAGAGACTTAAAAATGGAAATAAATTAAACTACTTTATTCAATTTCTGTAAAATAAGGATAAGAAAATTACCTACCTAATAGTGTATTTGTGAAGATTACATGTAGTAATTTATGTATGTAAAGTGCTCAGAACAGTACCTGGTATGCAGTAAATGCTTGTTAGTATAAGCTATTATTACTATTATTATTCCAACATTCTAATTGTTGCTATATACTTGTCATTAGGAAATTAGTTAGCTTTAGCATCATTAAATTTTCATATTCAAAGTACATTCCAATATTAAAACAAGTGAACTTTATTTTATTTTATTATTTTATTTTATTTTATTTTTTATTTTTTTCCATCAGCATTTATCTCATCTATGCCCTCTTCCACCTCCACCCACCTCCCCCACCATCCCCTGCAATCACCACACTGTTTATTTCAACATAACTTTAATTCAGATTTTGGTGTCAATTCACATTAAACTTTAAAACAGAAGGGGACTAACATGGATTGATTGCATCCCCCCAAAATTCATATATTGAGGCTTTAATCTATAATGTGATAGTATTTGGAGGTGGGCTTTAAGAGGTAAGTAGTTTTGGATGAGGTCATAGGGGTGGGGCCCCCATGATGGGACTAGTGTCCTTCTTTATGAGGGGATGGAGAGACAGGAGCTCTTTTTCTCTCTCTGCCATGTAAGGAAACCAGAAAGAAGGTCCTCACCAGAACCTTGCCATGCTAGTCCCCTGACCTTGGACTTTCCAGCCTCCTGAACTGTGTGAAATATATGTTTGATGTTTAAGCCACCCAGCCTAATACCATCACAGCATTCCTGAACTGACTAAGGCAGCAACATAGATAGAAGTTATTAAAATAAAATTAAAAGGCAAAAAAGTGAAGGCCTCTGCTATACAGAAGTAGCCTATAATGAAAAAAATTAGAAAATCATTAAGAATATATTATGTACTAGAGCACTTAATAATATTCAAAGAAATTAAAGAAACAGTTTGTCTCCATTCAAAGCAAATATACATATCCAATACTACGACAACACACTCATACAGCAATGTACATGTAAACACTATTGTTTTATTATCTGGATATGTTTAAGCCTAATTCAGGCTAGATTCTGGGACTGTAATAGTCAATTCATTAATTCAGACAAAATTGCAGCCAATTTTTAGAATATGCCAAGGTAACTGTACAATTGGAAAGATCTTCTTAAAATAAATTTAATAAGTATTTTGACATCATGCAAACACACCCTTAATTCGTCACATCTGAAATTCATGTTTGGATTTAATGACCTAAAAGTTTGAATACAGAGGGGAGATAACTGCTTAAAACCAAGTTGACCTCCTGCTCTTCGAAAAGTGGAAACTACTGATTCTCTAGTTCAACTGCCGAGCTCCTGAGCCCTTTCCTTAACAAATACATCAAGAGTTCAGGTAAATCATCGATTAATATATCATCTTAATGTACTTAACCAGAAGAATAAATCAGATTCTAAATAGTGCTACCATTTAATCAGAAGCTTCAATACACATAAGTGAAATGATAGCACAGAATTGTGGAGATTACTTAGTTAACTGCTTTGGAAATTCCTACCTCGGAGATTTAAACATAACTGCAGGTCCTATATAATAGTAAAACTGGACATTTTGCAAGCATTTTTAAATCTGAATCCATAGTTGTTTTTATAAAAACCAAGCATCTCATCAAGATCTCTGCACCAAAAACTAGAGAGCGTTGCTGAGACACATTAAATTCCTAAATAACTGAGGAGATTAACCAAATATTTGGATTGGAAGATTCAATAGTGTTTAGATGTCAATTGTCAACTTATTCCCAGATTCACTGCAATACCAAATAAAATCCCAACAAGGTATGTGTGAGTGTGTGTGTGTGTGTGTGTGTATGTGTGCAAACTGACAAGAGGTTTCTCAAATCTATATGGAACTACAAAAAAACTCCAAAAAACTAAAATAGCTAAGGCAAAATCAAAGAAGTATAAGCTAGAAAATTTACATAGTCAGATATCAGAAATTTTTATAACATGGTGTTTGTTGGTGTACATATAGACAAATAGATCAATAAAACGACGTGTCTAAAAAACAGAGTCATACACATCTGGTGTCCTTATTTACCATAAAAGAGCCACTGATACACAGTGGGGAAAGGATCATCTTTTCAATAAATGGTTCTGGGTCAACTGGATCTCCATATAGGAAAACACTGAATCTTGACCCTTACCTCACACTATGCACAGAAATTAGTTAGAGATGATCTTAGATCTAACTTTGAAAGCAACAAAGGACTAAGAAAAACATAAAATCATTGACTTGGGGTAGCAAAGATTTCTTAAAAGGGACACATCACTAATTATAAAAGATTGATAAATTGGACTTCATTACTATTAAAGTCTTTATTAATCAAAAGAAAACAGTAAAAGAGCAAAAAGGCAAGCCACAGTCTAGGAACCACAGACTATTGTAATGCACACCCAATAAAGTATCATATCCAGAATACACAAAGAACTCTCACAGATCAATAAAAGGAAAAGATTAAAACCCTATTTTGAAAATGCACAAAAGACTTAAACAATTCACAAAACAGAATATTAAAATTGTCAACCAGCATATGAAAGGTTGCTCAGCATCATTAGTAATCAGGGAAATGCAAAGTAAAACCACAATGAGATACAACTAAATGGCTAAAAATTAAAGAACTGACAGCACTAAGTGTTGATGAGGAGGAGCAAGGAAAACTCCTACATCGCTTGTGGGAGTAGAAATAGTACAATCACTTTAGAAAGCTGTTTGGCAGCATTTACTAAAGCTACATATACCTGAACTCTATGACCTAGATATTCAATGACACAAGAGAATTGAGTACAAAAATGAGTGTAAATGGCCCTTTCAGAAGAGAATATGCATTGCAGCATTACTCATAATGGTCTGAAACTGGAAACAACCCAAATGTTATTGACAAGAGAAAAAAATGAATAAATTTTGACATGTATAATGAAAAACTGCATAGCAATAAAAAAGGGTGAACTACTGATACAAGCAATGTCCTGGGTGAATCTCACAGGCATAATATTAAGTGGGGGGAAAATACCATTCCCAAAAGAACATACACTACCTAATTACATTTTTATGAAATTCAAGAGATTGTACAACTAATCTATGTTGGAGTACTGGTTACCTTAGTGGGACATCAAGTGGGAGCCACTGCAGGAAAACCTGGGGTTCTTTAAATGTTCTGTGTTTTTCTCTGAGTGGCAGTCACACAAATGTATAAATACATGTATAAAAAGTCACTGCATTTACATGTAAAATCTGTTGATCTTAGTGTATGTAACACCTCAACAAAATGAGGAAAACAGCATGTCTGTGAGAAAATACTTTAACCTAAGACTGCAGACTTGGCCTTCTATTGTATTGCTAAACTTTCCAGTACTATTGAGATTAGATCACTTGTTTTTGAAACATATTTTTCCAATCATGGTTCTGGTATTTTTTATAACCACTCAAATAAGTTTTCAGTTTAAAAGAGCACTCACTGCTGAAAGCATGTTGAATTCCCTCTTTTGCCTCTCAGAAAGCTAAAAAGCCCCGAGCAATTAAAATCCATTCTTTAATTTTTTTAAACTGATTTTAATACATGAAAGATTTGTGAGTGTTGCTTATGCTCACACTGAAAAGGAAGCAGTCAACTCTCTGTGGCCACAGAGGCCTCTGACCTCAGGAAAAGTCAAGGGGGTAGGGGAGTGGAAAAGCACTATAAAGGGGAAAATTAAATTAGAAGCATCATGAAAAATAGATGTAAACATGTTTTATTGTATTCTTTATAGTTTGTTGAGGGTTCTTAGTATTACTTAAGCTATTTGTATACCACTTTACTGACTGCAGGGAAATAAAATATATAATTTGTCTAAGGGAGATGTAATTTATCTTTAACTTTGCTAAGGTATATATATTTCCACACATTTGTGCTTAAATAACTATGTATGATGGATAATATAGAATAACGATTTTCAATTAACTGGGAATTAAGATTTGTAAAGGCCTTTAGGGAAGATATGTTACTGAAAGATATAAAACTAGAAACCTGCCTGTTCACACGATATCTGGTCATAGTCCTGGAGGGCAAGGGTTGATTATCTCCCAAGAAGTCTCCCAGGGAAGTATTTTTTGCTTTGATAAATTTATCAGAGTCCAAGGTGTAGCCTTTGACCTCGCAGGCTTACAAATCAGATTTGACAACATGCGAAACACAGATCCATTTCTCAGTAGAATGTAGCCCCTCACCTCCTCTTGCTCACTTACTTGACTCCAATCTCTTGTTTCTCCCACAGGCTGAGCCTGCTCCTGCCTCAGGGCCCTGGTGTGTGCTGCTTTCCAGGTGTTCACCTGCCTCACTCCCTCTCTACCTTCATGTCTCTGCTTAAATGTCCCCACATGAGGGCGGCTTTCCTTGACCACTCCATATAATAAAACATAAATAAAATCCTACAACTTCATGTAGGATTGCCAAATATAGCAAATAAAAATACAGGACACCTAATTAAATGTGAAGGTCAGATAAATAATAAAAATATTTTTAGTATAAGTATATCCTACATAATATTTGGAACATACTTATACTAAAAAAAAATCATTATTTATCTGACCTTCGCATTTAACTGGGTGTCCTGTATTTTATATTGCAATCCTACTTGCATGCCCAGACTCTGTGGGGCCAGAAATGATGGGAGTATGTATCAAAGAGGAGACAGCGAAGGTTGAAATAGAAATGAATCGAGATACAAGAACCAACAGGACATGATAATGGATTGCATGGAGGGAGAAGGGAGAGTTGGCTTGCTTAGCCAGGTAAAAGTTTAGTTCACTGAAAGGAATCCCACTAGAGGAAGAACAGAAGGCTTGGCTAGGAGGAAATGAATCTGTGAGAGAGAGGAGTTGGAAATGTTAAGCTTGAGGTGCCATTAAAAATTTCAAATGAAGTTACTGAACAGGCAGTTAGAGATAAGATGGGTATGGAACTCAAAAGTGAGGTCCAGGCTGAAGTAAATTTGAGAGTGGTTGACATATAAATCATATTTAAAGCCACAGGGATATCAGAGGAGAAGGGGGGAAGGGCTATCTCCTGAGAAATTGCAACATTTCTCCTCTTGTCCATTTTTCCTGCTTTGTTTTTTCTATTCCTTCATATCCTCGGGAAATAAGTAATATATTATGGAATTAATATTACCTGTAAAAACTAAAATTAAAATCTGTCTTGTTTTGTAGATGTTCCTCTATGTATCACTCTCTTTTCTAACATTATTAAGGAAATATTAACCATATTAAGGAAGATTGTTTACCTTTAGTGACAAAACTCATGACATAGTATTTGTTTGCCTCAAGATGGGAGGATGAAAGGGGAAGAAACTCAAGTGTGGGGGCTACTGGGGTGGGGGAGGGTATGGGGGGACAAATGGTGATGGATGGAGACTTGATGTGGGTGGTGAACACAAAATACAATGTACAGATGATGTTTTGTAGAATTGTGCACCTGAAACCTATACAATTTTATTAACCAGTGTCACCCCAATAAATGCAATAAAAAGGAAAAATTTTTTTAAAAGACGGGAAGATGAAGAGCAGCAATTTCCCACAGATATAGATGTGGTTTGTTTTCCTTTCATAAATGGATCAAAATAATAGCTTTCGGGGGTTTGCATTAAAAAAAAAAAAAAAGGAGTGGGGGAAGGGGACATCTGTAAAACTTTCAACAATAAAGATAAATTTTAAAAAAGAAAGATTCAATAGCAATACAAAATAAGTTGACATGAATTACAGTAAAATTAAGTGCTATAGTATAAAAATATATTTCACACTCTACCATCACATCTAAGTTAATGTACTACGATGTACTTGATTGTCCTTCAACATTTTTATGTTACTGTTCGATTTAAACTATTAAATTGCCTTTAAAAAAAAGGCTAAAACTGAATTCCTGCAGGTCCTTTCATTTTATTGTTACCAGTTGCCCTCAGGTCCTCCTGTTCACTTCATACTTTGACAATAAGTCTGATAAAGAATGGCAGAGTATCCTAGGTTTGGGGGAAAGCACTGGTTAACAAAAATAGGTAAAACACACTGGACCAGAATATCACACAAAAATATGGAAAAGTGACTAAACAAGAAAAAAAGATGGGGAGGGGAACAAAGCTGTTTTGTTTTGTTCTTTGCTGCTTTTCCTTACTCTGGTCTTCTGTTTTTTATTACTTTTGATGATAATTAGTTTTGATGATAATTCAATACTTTGTCTTAAGAGAAAGAGAAAAAGAGGAACCTTTAATTATTTGACACATAACTTCTATCACAGAATAAAGTTTTAAGTAACAGTAAAGTAAGTTTTGAGATGATCTACCTGCTACACAATTTTTAATACAATTCTCTTCCCCACCCTCTTTTGACAACTGAGCTGAAACTGCCACATTCAAACAGAACTTCACCTGCAGCATGAAAGCAAGCCACTATGCCCTCTCTCATAATCTCAATATAATAGTAAAATTGATGAAAATATGAAATAAATTCTTAATAGCTTCATGATTTAAAAATTCAAGTTGCTATAGAATCTCTCCATATTACTCTTGAATTCTGTTCCAACTAAGACGATATTCGAAGTAATTGTTAAACATACCATAGAGTTAAAGTAAAGCAATCAAAAGACTCAATTTATCCTTCATATATTTAGATTTAACAGTAGACTGTTGACAACTTCACAGACTCCAGAGCTGAAACCCTAGCCTCTCCCTCAGATTGGTTATATTTTATTTTTAGATGTAATCACTTCCCTCCGGTAAACGGTTAGTGACCACACGCGCAGGTCTGCACATGAGGAAACTAAAACTGGAACCTGCCCTGGGAATCAGCTCCACAAGACACAAGAAGGGTGGCCCCGTCACACCACGGCTGGCGGGTCATCTTCAATAATCCTTACGACAGTGCTGTGCTGACATTTTAATTAATGTGCGTGATATCTGAAGTTAAGCAATTTCCATGGCATGTTGAGTATGTGTTACTTCACGAGCACCTTCTATCTCATGGCCTGATAAAAATCGATTCTTCATTTTGTTAATTTCCTTTATTACTTTATGTTATGTAAATTTGTTATGTAATTCTTGTTAGAGTTCAGATTAATTTTGAAAGCACACTCTTAGGAAAATTTTCAGGAAGATTAACTTGGTAAGTTAATGGACCAGTGTACATACATTTCAGATGTCCTACATATAATATAACCTGATTAACGGATTGAGATACCAAAGCTGCAAAAGCAAACCATTCAGGGGAATCCCAGGCTGGGGAAGTTTCGGTTACGCAAGGTGATTAAGTTCCAGGGAGCTGCTGTCCTATCCCACACTGCGCCTATAGTCAACAGTACTGTATTATACATTAGATATTTGTTAAGAGGGTAGATCACGGGGTAAGTGCTCTTATCACAATAAAGGAAAAGTTACTAAGGGCAAAAAATAACCAAATAAAATGAAAGGAAATGAACCCGGTAACATAAGATGCAAGGAAACCAACTGAGGGGGGAAAAAAGTCAATTATGCTAAAGCAAGTGTTCCTCTAAGTGTTTTCCTCAGACAAGCTGCAGTAGATTTACCTGGGGAGCTTGTTAAAGATGTAAATGACTGAATCCCACCCCAGGCTGTCCTGCTTGATGGGAATTCTGAGAGTGGGACTTGCAAATCAGTACCACAATGATACTTGCTCACACTAAAACTGGAAAACCATTTATGTAGATCCTTCAAGTCATTATTATCATCAGAAACATTTATTATGCACTAGCATGTGCCTGAAAGCTGTGTCCTACTTAATCAAAGATTCATTGTTCTTTCTAACCAAAAACATCCTATCCCCTCTGATTAAGTTGCAATTTGCATTACATACTCTCTCTCTTAAAAGGAAGAGGCATAAAGAAATCCAGAAGAGTAACGACATAATCAGAATAAACTCCCCTGCTCCATGTACTTCTTTTTGCCACAAGTCGCTCATGATTTCTTTCTCACTGAAGAGCGTTTTCCCCCAAAAAAGTATGACAGCCACAGGATGCCATTTACGCAGGATACACAAACTTTCATGTGGATTATTTTAGGAAATGGACCTCCTGCTGAATTAGTTAAAAAAAAATCATAAAGACTTAGATAACACTCTGAGTAAGATTTGTTATAGCTTTATAAGAGATTGTTTTTATTTTATGTGTGCTTCAAACTCAAAAGTCTCTACTGGAGTATATTTATACCTGTTTGGCAAAAATTATTAAAGGATACCTTCAAAAGAATAAGCCCAATGAGACTCAGACTCAGTACATATCATCATATGTGACTGTCATCAGACTACATTTGATGTGATCGTTTGCATAGAGTTGAAGTTTTTTTTGCTTAACAAATGGCTTTTTCAATGTGTCTAGTTCAACCTTTAATGATGAGGTACATCTAGATCAGTAACTTACACACACTCCGTGTTCAAGAAGTCTTCCAAATGAGCCACATAACCATTTATGTAAGTCAGAGGCGGAAGTAAATATTTCAAATTGCCTTCAAACCCTCGGAAATATTTATGAGGTTGATAATCTAACAATTGCAAATAAATATTATCTATTTAGCTCAAATCTTTTGATCACCTCATCTGAGATACAAAACTGATGTATAATTAAACAAAATTTCCTTTTATTCTCCTATTCTGTTTTTCACTTTCTCCTAATTAAGATTAGACATGTCCCCAGTTAATCCTAATTGGTGGGTTTCTGTACTTAACATTTGAGTATCTCCAATAACATAACTTAAAGGAGAAAGGGAGAAATACACACACTCGGAGATGAAAACAAGTATATTTATATTTGTAAATATCGATGAGAGAAAGAAAAGGCCATTTAGACTACTATAATATGCATATGAAAAAATAAGTAATTTTAGAAATTCTCAATGTTCAACATGAAGGTCAATGGGGGAACAATGAATTATTTTGGTCCTAGTAAAGTTAACCCATGGCCTCTTCAACATTGACAAGATTTATTTTCATGATTTAAAAAAATAATTTAAAGACTATAAATAATATTTGGTGACTGGAAAAAGAGGTAGCCTGGATACCTGGCTTGTCCCTGACCGTCACGGAAGTGGAAGCGGGAAGCAGGAGCGCTGCCACCCAGAGCCAAAGTTTCCAAGAGCCAGCGTGACTCATCGTGCCTCAAAACCATGTGAACAAGAGACCACAGATCTGCAACAGAACAAAATATTTCAATTAAGCTGATTATAACATTGCTTTCTTTATATCTCCAGAAATCGTCTTCACCAAAGAGAACATAATAGACTTTTACATTATGTATCATTATATACAGTTGTCCCTTGGTATGGGGGGCGGATTGATTCCAAGACCCCCAAGGATACTAAAACCTTTGGGTGCTCAAGTCTCTAATATAAAATGGCATAGTATTTGCATTTAATCTATATTTGCATATGGGCTACAGCAGGGTATGCCTTACACGGATTCAACATGGTGCTTGGCAAGTGGCAAATTCAAGTTTTGCTTTTTGAAACTTTCTGGGGTTTTCCCCCCGAAGATTTTCAATCCAAAGTTGGTTGAATCTGTGGATGCAAAATCTGCAGGTACAGAGGGCTGACTGTAATTGGATATTGATAATATATGCAATTATACATAATATATCAATATATACCTTAACATGTATGAAAGAACTCTGAATATATTTTCAGGTTAGTTCCTAATTACCAATGTCCATACAGCCCCTTATAACTTAAATTTTCTCTTCTTTAAAATTTTTTAAAAGCCACACCACTTATAATAATTTGTATATATCTTTATTGTTTTTTAATCCTGGTAAAATACGCCTAACATAAAATTTACTATTGTATATTTAAGTGGCATTAAATACCTTCACATGGTTGTGTAAGAATCACCACCATCCAGAACTTTTCATTTTTCAAAACAGCAATTCTGCAACTCCCCATTTCTCCCTTCGTCTGTCCCTGGCAACCACAATTCTACTGTCTATCTCTAATAATTTGACGACTCTGGGTACCTCAAATAAGTGGAATCATGCCATATTTATCCTTTTGTGACTTTATTTCATAATGTCCTCGAGGTTTGTCTATGTTGCAGCATGTGTCAGAATTTCCTTCCTTTTTAAGGCTGAATAATATTACACTCTTTGTTTATGCCATATATTGTATATCCATTCACCCTTTGATGGACGCTTGGGTTGCTCCCACCTTTTGGCTATTGTGAATAATGCTATTAACATGAACATACAAATATGCATTCAAGTCCCTGTTTTCAATTGTTTTGAGATATACTCAGAAATGGAATTGCTGTCTTATAATTCTATTTTTAATTTTCTGAGGAACTGCCACACTGTTTTCCATACCAGCTGAACCATTTTACATTCCCAGCAACCATGCACAACAATTCCAATTTCTCTACATCCTTGTCAGCATTATTTTCCATGTTGTTTTTTAAATAGCAACCCTCCTAATGGGTGCGAGATGGTATCTTATTGTGGTTTTAATTTTCATTTCCCTAAGGATCCGTGATGTTGAGCACCTTCATGTGTTTATTAGCCATTTTTATATCTTCTTGGGAGAAATATCTATTTAAATCTTGCCCAATTTTTAACTTGGTTTTTGTTGTTGCTGCTGAGTTGTAGGAGTTCTTTGTATATTCTGGTTATTAACCCCTTATTAGACATGATTTGCAAATATTTTCTTCCATGTTGTGGGTTGGCTTTTCACTCTGTTGATTGCGTCCTTTGTTGCACAACTTTTTATTTTTATGTAGTCCAAATTATCTACTGTTTCTTTTACTGCCTGTTCTTTAGGTGTCATATATAATTATTTGTATTTTTCAAATATAATTTTATTACTTACAATTCTATTTTCTCTCCTGAATAATAGTTTTCCATATTTTGGCTTAATTAATATCATTACATTTTCTATAAACTTAATGATTTTGTTACTGGACTGAATAATTACTGTTATAGGAGTAATTACTGCACACACAAAACGTAATTTTTCCTTCTATTTAAAGTCAAATGCATCTATGCAATGCCCACCACATCTGAGTCTGCTACTGACATCATATTTAATATTAATGTATTACCTCCCCAAATTGTTTGTCTTTCTGAATTCAGACTACTACTTTACAGATATTGCAATAAAAGATTTAATAAATAAAATCTTTGTAATGGAAAACGTAAGCATTACTTAAATTAATTTTTATAGTGAAGTAACTAACATGGAAATGAATTGCAATTAAAAATATAATGGCTCCCTCAGTGTACTTGACAAACACAATATTATTGGAAAAGCTATTCTAAGAGCTCTAAATATGCAAATAATATTATATCATATATTTGCCACCATTCAAGGTTTACTCAAGAGTCAAATATAAAAGAAACCATCATACCAGTGCTTAAGTGTTGTCAATAGACACTCTTTAGAAGAAAACTAAAGCCACCATGTTTGGTATTCTGCGTGTGCCAAACACCCTAAATCAGCATTTTAAAATTAACTTGAGATTTTAGATATTTCTGGGTGAATAGCTAGAAGCAGCGATTGTAATATTAAAACCATATGTGTGGTTCTAAATATCAAACAGCTGTTTTTATGCCTTATTTCTTTTGAACTCTCTCATCTAGATATAGTCTTAATCCTCATATGACTTTTCAAACTTATCCTCATTATTACTTCAAGTCAGTTGGTAACTGTTAAAGCAATTAATTCTTTTTCAAAGAAACAAACTCACAAATATTGATCTAACTTTCAGAGAGATCCTTGATCATTGCCATTTTCAACCAAAGTGATTTTTATTTGTTGATAAAATTAGCCACATACTATAGTAGTTAAAACCATGGCTTCGTGTCTGCGCTCTGTCACTTACGTATTTTCACTAAACCTTAATTTATTCACCTGAAAACTAAAAATAATACTATTTAATACCTGGAAAGAGTACAGTAGAGGGCCTTGAACACAGTAAGTGTTAAAAAATGTACCTGCTATTATTATAATTGCTCACTCTACATATCCATAAATAATTAGTACAAATTTAGTTGCATTGCTCTCTTTAACCTGAGGTTAATATTGATACTTGGACACTGAAGGAGTGCCAAGGCATCCTAAAAATTTATTCACTGAAGCTTTACTCCTTGTTTCAGCAACAAAGAACCAGAGAGCTGTATAGCCATTAGCACATGAATTCAATCTGGAGGTCTCCCAACTATTTCCTTGAGCCACTGAGAGGATAATTGTACTTAGCTTCAACTTCATTTATCCAAAAGGTTTGAAGACTAAGATGTTATGGTTAGTTGACTAAACATTCTAGTTACTAAGGAATTTCCATTCCACCGAGCTGCTGAAATGTCTCTGGCCAAATTCAGGAAGATCTTGAAAGAAGAATCATTTTCTTTCCCCATGTAATCCAACCGTTGATGGCATTTCCAGTAGGTGACCACTCGCTCCTCCTTAAAACCATCATTCTTATTGGACTCTCTGCCCTCATACTCTCTGGGATTTCCTTCTAAATTCCCCTCTCAGATATGTTTTTCTACCTGATTTATTAACACTGGAATCTGGGGGCTCTCCTCTCCTATCTCTTTATAATGTCTCCCTCTGTGATCTCACCATTCTCTTGTCTTTAAATAGTGTCTGTCAGATGATGAATCTAAAATTTACATCTCCAGCCCAGTCCTCTTCTCTGAGCTTTAGACTTTGCATGCACCTGCCCCCTCAATAATCTCTCTGAGATGTTACACAGGCATCTATAACCGCACAACTTAAATACTTGATTCTCAATCATAACTTGTTCTTCTCATGTTCTTCCCAGTCTCAATAATTAGCACCCAACAAAATGCTCAAACCAGAAATCTAAGCATCACATTGATTCTTCTGTCTTCCTCATCACCATCTCCCACATCCAAACCATCAGACCAGTGTGACCCCGAACACATTTCAAATCCATTCATTGCTTTCCAGTCCTCTGCCACTATCCTAGGTCAGACTGTCCTGATCTAGACTCCTCAACAGCTTCCTTAACTAATTTCCATCATCCATTATCAGCTCCCGGCCAAATTCACTGTCCACATAGCCCTAGAGAGCTTTTTTGAAAAATCAAAGTTGGATCATGTCATTTCCTGCTTCAAACCCTATAATTGTTTCCCATTCTACTTCAAATGTAATCCAAAAGCCTTCCTATGGTCGAGAAGCCCTGAGTAATCCTACCCACCTCTTTGGTCTCTTTGGCATCTTTCTCTTCACTAATGTGCTATTCCTCAAATTCCTTGGTGCTTTCCAACCTCAGGGCTTTTGTGTATGCTATTTCCTCATTCAGGGAAAATGCTCTTCCTACATCTTTTCAAAAAAGATTTTTAATTGATTTTTTTAAAATTACCTTTATTGTTGAAAGTATTACAGATGGCCCCCTTTTTTCCCCATTGATTCCTTCCACCCTGCAACCGCCCTGCCCCGCCCCAGGCCTTCACCATACTATGGTCTGTGTCCATGGGTTATGCATATATGCATATAAATTCTTTGGTTAATACCTCCCCACCTACTCCCCAACCCCTACCTTCCCTCTGAGATTCATCAGTCTGTTCCGTGCTTCCATATCTCTGGATCTATTTTGTTCATTAGTTTATTTTATTCATCAGATTCCACATATGAGTGAGATCATGTGACACTGAATCAGGAAGAATCAGAAAACCTGACTAGGCTAACAACAGCTGATGAAACTGAAGCAGTAATTTTGAGTACTGCTTCTTCCTACATCTTTCACTTTAAATGTTACTATGTGGAAAAGCCCTTACCTGACTGTGCCCTGGCCCCATTATTCTCCAGCTCAGATGATTTTGCCTGTATTTATATGTTTATTGCCAACTCAAAGTTCCTCTAGGGAAGGGACTATGTCTGTCTGTTCTATCACTGTATCCTGAGCACTTGGCATAGTACTTGGAAAAGCAGAGACTCAAAAAATACTCACAAAAAAGGTGGAGGGATTAAGAACTACAAATTGGTCATCACAAAATAGTCCAGGGGATGTAAAGTGCAGCATACGGAATATACGGAAAAAAATATTATAATCAGGTGGGTACTGGAAATCTCATAGGGACCACTCTTAAAGTATATGATTGTCTAACCACTATGCTGTACACCTGAAATTAATACAGAATAATATTAGGTGTAAACTGTCATTGAAAACTAAAAAT